AAGTGTCTGAGGCCTCTACCTCTCGTCTTTCACTGCCGTCAGTTCTGTTTTTTTCTCTCTGGAGCTCTTCTATTTTAGTAGAAACTACAAATGGAAATCAACGATTATCATGTCTACCTTTATTAGTGAAAGCTTTGCAAGTAATTCTAATTAATGTTGTGAAACAAAATTGATCAGAGAGGATGCCGGATGAAGTATTTTAAGAGTTATAATGAGTTTAGCTGTCTTCTTAAACCAGGAGTAAAATAAAGCATAGACCAGAGGATTCAGACCTGAATTAGCATACAAAACCCATACTAAAACATTCAAAGCTGTGGAAGAGTTTACAGTTAGAGAACAGATATAATATGGGATATAGCAAAGCAGAAAAACAGACACAATGATTCCTAAAGTCAGAGCAGCTTTACTCTCAGATTTCCTCTTCACTGAACCCTCCGTTACACATTTACCACCCTTCATCAGAGAGTTTATAACCTTCACTTGCTGATGAACGACATAGAAAATCCTCAAATATAAAGAGTTGATCAGCAAACAAGGAAAAATAAAAGATATGAACAGATCAGTTGCTATCCAGCTAAAACTTACCATGACTAAACACTGTCCGTAACACACATCAGTCTGAGTGTCAAAGAAACTATTGTTAATTATAAGGGCAGTGCAATATGCCGAGAAGCAAACCCAGTTCAGACAGATACTCACTAATGTTTTGGTGATGGTTATTCTCTGTGGGTACAGTAAAAGGTGACACACAGCCACATAACGATCAACAGCAATTAAAACTAAATTACCAAGAGATACTGTGACAAGTAATGACACAAATAACATATAGAGTCCACAGAAAGTGTCTCCAAAATACCAACACTTGTCAATCAGTCTGATGGCCTCTACAGGCATGACGAGTCCAATAAACAGATCAGTCACAGCCAGAGAGAGAATAATCATGTTGGTCGGAGTGTGAAGCTTCTTGAAGTGAGAGATGGAGATGATCACCAGCAGGTTCAGAAACACAGTCCATGCTGACAGCAATGACACAAACAAATAGATGATGATATATCCATGACTGGAGCGTCTCTCCTTGACACATGATGAGTTGATGTCAGGAAAGCAGTATTGAGTCTCCTGATCCTCTGTCTCATAGGCCATGAGTGAGTCTCCTCCTGTTAGAAGTTTGTTCTACTCTCCTTTCTGTCCTTTCATTTATACAGTGTCTGGATCAGACTGACCAGAAAGAAAGCAGAAGAACCAAAGAGAAACATATGATAGTGCATGATCTAGCTAATTTAAATGAAATGTTAAATGCCCAGTCTGGATAAAACCATCTCAGAGTTATTAGAGAAGTACACTGCCTCACAAAACTCTTTTCTAATAAATCATCTGTCGAACTGCATCCTAATCATCACAAATACTGCAGAATACCTACTGGAAGCCACATAGACCCAAGACATAAGGGTTTGGTGAAGGAAAAAATCATGGTTGGGGGTTAAATTCAGTATGGGGTCATGCGAGAGATCTGCAGAGTGGATGGCAACATCACCAGCCTGAGGTATCAAGACATTTGTTCTGCCCATTACATTACAAACCACAGGAGAGGGCAAATTCTTCAGCAGGATAGCGCTCCTCATACTTCAGCCTCCACATCAATAATCCTGAAAGCAAAGAAGGTCAAGCTGCTCCAGGATTGGCCAGCCCAGTCACCAGACATGAACATTATTGAGCATGCTTGGGGTAAGATGGAGGAGGAGGCATTGAAGATGAATCTAAAGAATCTTGATGAACTCTGGGAGTCCTGCAAGAACACTTTTTTGCCGTTCCAGATGACTTTATTAATCAGTGATTTGAGTCATGTCAGAGATGTATGGATGCAGTCCTCCAAGATCATGATCGAGTCAGACACAATATTCATTCTGTTTCCACTGCAGCAGGACTTTATATTCTAGACTGGACATTATTTCTGTTCAGTGACAAGACTTTTGTCTAAACAAAGTCAGACCGTACTGTCCTGATTTAATCATTACAAATAAGGCATGATCATATTTTATTTTGGTAAAATAAGTGTAATCTAGAGGCCTTTGCCTTTCATATAAGCCACTTCTGATACCAAATGATCAACTAGAAGTCAACTTATTATTTGCTGTTCCTAAAAATTGGATGGGTGACAAGACTTTTGTCAGATAGTGTATATTCAAAAACATTTCTTCAGTAACTATTGTACACATGCACAATCATTTTTATGTATTTAAAACATTTTATTTATTTCCCATAGTCCTTTTCATCCCCTCACAAAATCACAAGGAATCTCCAGCTGACAGGCTACTCTGAGCATGTGCAGTGCACAGTGGTGTATAAAATGACAGTGCATAGCCTTTTGTTCTCTTTTTGCTTCCCATAGCTGCCATGTTGCATCCCAGAACACTTTGGCTGCGTCCGAAACCGCCTACTACTCAGTAGGTACTGCATTTGAATTTAAACGTAGTACTCGGTCGTTAGAAAAGTACGTTCTATACAGTATGAACGTGAAAAGAATGGAATTCAGGTGTGCTACGTCCGCCATTTTGTCATGGTCATGAGACCTACCTGCGTCAGTTGCGTCGCTTCACTCCCATTCATGAATTCACTCGCGGGGCATCATGGGATAGCGCAGCGTGCATGGGATGCGCACTCCAGAATCTTGCCGGAAGTAGTAAGTCATCCTGGTACTTCTCGCATACTGTTTTTCAAATCCTATGAATTCGGACATACTACTCGACTCACATACTGATTTTAGCGTACTGTAAAGTATGAAAGTATGTGGTTTCGGACGCAGCCTTTGACTCTGTAAAGCTGAGCTGCTTTGTTCTACTGTATATTACCCTGTTATACTAGACAGACCATTAAATGTAGCCTAAAATAATAAAGAATCAGAGCATGGTATATAGTTGACGTCAGAATTATTAGCCCCCCTGAATTATTAGCCCCTCTGTTTATTTTTTCCCTAATTTCTGTTTAACAGAGAGCAGATCTTTTCAGCACATTTCTAATCATAATAGTTTTAATAACTCATTTCTAATACCTGATTTATTTTATCTTTACCATGATGACAGTAAATTATATTTGACTAGATATTTTTCAAGACACTTCTATACAGCTTAAAGTGACATTTAAAAGCGTAACTAGGTTAATTAGGTTAACTAGGTAGGTTAGGGTAATTAGACAAGTTATTGTATAAAGATGGTTTGTTTTGTAGACTATCGGTTAAAAAGTTAGCTTAAAGGGGCTAATAATATTTTTATTAAAATGGTGTTTAAAAATTCATAACTGCTTTTATTCTAGCCGGAATAAAACAAATAAGACTTTCTCCAGAAGACATATTATCAGACATACTGTGGAAATTTCCTCACTGTGTTAAACATCATTTGGGAAATATTTATAAAAAAAGAAATGAAAGAAAATTAAAGCGGGGCTAATAATTCTGACTTCATAATTCCTATTCTGATATATCGATTTTGAAATACACAAATCAACTTTGAAATCATTATGAAAAATATGGTTATAGTGTGGTGAATGGCTTATTTTCTCCTATCTCTAATAGAATGTTCTTTTACACTTTCTTGACCATATGACCGAAATCCACATCTGAGTCATTCAAACTGACCAATCAGCACGCTAGAGCATACCTCAGGTGTGATGACAAGGTTACAGTTTGTTGTACAATGTCCTTCCGATGGCAAAGTTAAAAGTCTTCTGTTCATTTCCCTTACACTTTCACCAACCTTCAACAGAGTATATAACCTTCATTTTCCAATGAACTGCATAGAAAATCCTCAAATATAAAGTTTTCATTATGGGTAAAATAAAAGACATGAACAGATTAGTGAGCTTCCAACTAAAAACTTTCAAACTCATCATGTCTGAACACTCTCAATAACACATCAGTTCTGTGTAAAGTGTCAAAATATCCATTACTAATTACAGCAAACTCATGTTTTAGTGATGGTTGTTTTCTGTGGGTACAGTAAAGGGTGATACTTGTTTTATTTATTTAGAAAATACATATTATTTGTTGTAAAACTGTACTGTGGGCTTGTAGGATTATAGTGTTGGTACAGTAGGCCTCTCTCCAGGCAGTCACATGGGTTGGTCTGTCTTTGTTTACTCTTACTGATCAGTAAAAACATCAATGATGTAACAACTCTGAGGACCAATTATAACTGTTTTGATTTATTCTCTGTCTTATTGATATTGTTAGAGGTGATCCTCCACTGAAATGTTCATTAAAGGTGTGAACTACTATGAATACACACACACAGCACTGTAGTGATGCAATAGTGCCACAGATAGAGTTCAGCTTTCCTGTTTGACCTGTGCATTGGAAAATTAATCATAGTGGCTTGATGAAAATTGAATAAATGACCAATAATGCATTCATTCACTGGCTCCAATGCTTTGCATAAACATTGTGTAATGAACTTGGAACAGTGTTCTCACTTCCAATTTAGCTTTTTTATTCTTAAAATCGATCTTAAATTGAATAAATGTTATATATGTTACAATTAATACAGTGTATAGCATTACAGATAATATATAACTTGTATTATACGAGGCAGCTTTACCAGTTTAATTAAAATTAATTCATTCATGTTGCATTATTGTTAAGGTGCTAAAAAAATCACAGTTTGTGTCACAGATGTGCTTTATGACAAATTAATATGTTAATTTAGCACACGGTCTGTGTTAAGAAGAATAAAACACAAAGTTCAAAATAACACAATGTGTTGTCTTTAACTAGACGTGTGTGTGTTAAGAAAAAAAAAACACAGGTTGTGTTGTTTTTAACACGTCTGTTTTAAGAGTATACTATTGCCACAGTTATTTTTTGCTTGTTTTTAAAGCAATTCAGTTACTTAAACATCAAAACATACAGGTTGAAATAAACTCTGTAATACTGTAGCAAAAGGAGTGAAAATAACAGAGATGTCAAATTTTATATATGTAACAGTGACTGTTTTGCAAAAAAATTATATTTAATGTTGTGTACAAATATTGCTCAGAGAAGATGCTGGCTGAAGTATTTTCAGAGCTACAATGAGTTTAGCTGTCTTTTTAAACCAGGGGTAAAATAAAGCATAAACCAGAGGATTCAGAGCAGAATTGGCATATACAGCCCATATTATAACTATCATAGCTGTGGAAGAGATTACAATTAATGAACAGATATAGTAAGGAATCCAGCAAAGCAGATACACTGCCACAATGATTCCTAAAGTCAGAGCAGCTTTACTCTCAGATTTCCTCTTCACTGAACCCTCCATTACACATTTACCACCCTTCATCAGAGAGTTTATAACCTTCACTTGCTGATGAACGACATAGAAAATCCTCAAATATAACATCATGATCAGAGGGCAAGGAAACATAAAAGACATGAACAGATCAGTGATGATCCAACTAAAACTTATAATGGCTAAACACTCTCCGTAACACTCATCAGATCTGTGTGAAGTGTCAAAATATCCATTATTGATTAAAAGGGCAATGCTGTAAGCTGAAAGCCAAACCCAGCTAAGACAGATAATCATCAATGTTTTAGTGATGGTTATTTTCTGTGGGTACAGTAAAGGGTGACACACAGCCACATAACGATCAACAGCAATTAAAACTAAATTACTAAGAGATGCTGACATAAGTAAAGAAATAAATAATAAATAGAGTCCACAGAAAATGTCCCCAAAATACCAACACGTCTCAATCTGTCTGATGGCCTCTATAGGCATGACAACTCCAATAAGCAGATCATTTACAGCCAGAGAGAGAATAATCATGTTGGTTGGAGTGTGAAGCTTCTTGAAGTGAGAGATGGAGATGATCACCAGCAGGTTCAGAAACACAGTCCATGCTGACAGCAACGATGCAAACAAGTATAAGATGATATATCCATGACTGGAGCTTCTCCTCTTGACACATGATGAGTTGATATCAGGAAAGCAGTATTGAGTCTCCTGATCGTCTGTCTCATAGGCCATGAGTGAGTCTCCTCCTGTTAGGAGTTTGTTCTGCTCTCCTTTCTGTCCTTTTATACAGTGTCTGGATCAGACCATCAAACCCATTTACAGCTAACTCTGATGTAATCAATATGAAAACACAATCAGAGCGCTCTCTTCAGACAACAGGGATTCAACATGCTTAATCAGGCCCACTCTGTCTGCCATTAACCCAACAAGAGATGCCATGTGCAACTAGAGTTAAGCAATATGGGCAAAAGAAACCTATCAGGATTTTCTTGAACAATATATTAGATTTCGATGTTTTTCGCGACTTTTGTCACAGACAGACTGAATTTGTGTTCACAGTGTGAATCTGAAACATATTTCAAAAGTAAAACAAATAGATCTTTATCAAAGACTTGTAGAGTGTCTCTAAAAAAACATAAAATAAAAATATTCTAATAAAGCTGTAACAAATTGTCTCTAAAACAGACCTATGGCAAAACAAATGTACGTGTGTATGAGTATGTGTGCTGTCAAACTCAAGTAAGGCTCCAATGTTCTGCTTGACCAGAAGTAGTTACATGTGTGTTCACAGAACTGTTTTGTCATCAAGCGGCAACCTCCCACTCTCCCTCGGGAAGCTAATACGGAAGTAACTAAAACTGCAATTCATTGACTCGCCTTGGTCGGCTGACTCCAGGAAGTCCAGGACATTTCTGACTGCAATGGGAAATTGGCCATTTTTATAGCTAATAAAAACATGTTTACAGCCTGGTACAAAAGATGGCTTTGGTGCATAAAGCCATTATTAACCTTTATGACAACTGTGAGGGGGGTGAATTTTTTATAACTCATCCGTTTTGTTTTTATTAAGTTATATTAAGTATGCATGCTTTAGGCCGTGGCCACTTGAGTGACAGCTAGATATCGCTGCATGCCGTCTCGTCACCTCAGCTGATTCCGGCTAATTAGCCACTGAGCTCGGCATATATATCATATTTTTGTTTTAGTTAATGTTTCTTTACACAGTCAATTGCCTTTTGCGATTATTTCCAACAATTATCAGATGATATGGCATGCTGTGTGCACTTAATTGTGCTCACAAACCATTCAAGTTGGTTCCATTTCCCAGGTGAGTGAAGTTATATACTTCTGTACCATCTCTATAACTGTATTTGTTTTATTTAAGATCATTTATCATTTATATTGTTCTTTAGACCTGTAATGCACTCTAGAATCTGACAGATTGATTAGCTGTAGGCTCTAGAACAGTCATCTGAAGCGTTGTCTTACAGTGTTATGCTTGGATTATATCAATAGTCTTGCATTTACTAACACAGACTAAGTTGAAGTGTTTGGATGTATTACGCGTTTTCCTCTTGTTGAAAAACATCATAAAAGCAACTTAGTGTGTCGTTCTTTGAAAGAGATTGTCGCTGTCGCTAATAAATTATATTAACAGGAACAGAAAAGAACCAATTCAAATGTGTGTTCAAACCGAAGCATTAGAAAATGTGCAATATGTTACCATGAATGACGCGAATTCTACACAGTTTTACAACCTTAAAGTGCTCCACACACTATTTAATTAAAATGGTTTATTGTTGCACAAACATGTGAGCATTTTAGTGACTTTTCAACATGCAACATTATCTATTGTAGATAAACTATTATGACGATACTACACTTTACAAACTACAGTGGCACCTTTGGAGCCATGGTATCACGATACTACCATAGTACTGGTAAACCGTGCAACCCTATTAGAAGGCTGAAACCAAAACTTTCTGAATACTCAGGCTAGGATGATTTGTTTTGAAACTTTTAGAAAAGTGTGGTGACTAAAACAGAAGACTTTGCCTTTTGCCATTGGCATGCACATAGTTTTCTGCTTTTTATTCATCAGCAAATCTTTCTGTTTATTCTCCATACTCTTGAGTCTTAAAATTGTCAAATATTAATACGGATTCAAAGTCACCAATATTTATGCAGTTGTAAATGCAGTGTAAATATCTTAATCACCTTATCTCTGCATGGCACAGACTACTTATATTGATAACCATTTAACTTCAGTTGTGGCAACCACGTGATGTATTAAACTTCCTAAAAAGTGACGGTTATGAATGCTGGTTTTAAATAAAGCACATATACATTTAGCGGATGCTTTTATTTAAAGTGACATACAAATGAGGATAAGAGAAGCACTTTAGGTTACCAGAGAGCAGCGATGTTTAAATTTTCCTATATAACTAATTAGCATTAGGTTCAGCATTTTAAAAATTTGATTTATTTATTTTTGAACAAAAATAGCATACATAAAATATCATTAACACAAAATACATTTCAATATGGACAAAAATGGAGGGGGATGAAGCACCCACCCCATTACCAGATACATCATTCGTCTATTACTTAAACTTATTTCTTTTTTTACTTATTTCTTCTAAAACAAACAAACATAAGTAAACAATAAAGAAATAACTATTCAGTAAACTGGTTACTGCTTTGAACTGACCAGTGCATGGAATTTGAATAATATGAATCTGCTTGAGATTGAGTCTCCACAGTAGCTGACAACGGTCACAGTATCATATCAGCACAAAAACATACGTGGCAAAGTATTATCTGATTGTAATAACGATTGTTGATTTATTGGTATTTTTCTTCAATATTGAGACATTTTTTGTGGAGTATACATTTTTATTTCAAGTCTTTAAAATAAATTTCTAAATGTTACATTTGGCTAAATAAATACACAGCAACCCTGTAAATATAAGCAGTACAGCAATGTAGTGTCTGAGGCCTTGTCCCTTTGCCCTCACTCTTATCAGCTCTTTTTTTCCTTTTCCTTCTGAAGCTCTACTATTGGGCTGGAGACAAGTGTGGTGCTCATTATCACTCACACCATTGACCCCAACAACACTCGTCACAAACACTCACATTACCAACAACAACAACAAAACTATATATATTTATTAATGTGATATAAAGCAATGATAAGCAGGTCTGGAGAGGCCATGAGGAGAATGACACTTACGGTTGCATTTCAGCACATTAACATTGACTTTTGGGATGGAGAAGTGTCATGTACATTATGAAGGTGGTTTTAATAGCAGTGTTTGTACACCAAAAATCCTAGCACTTGCAAGCACACTGTTTTTGGTCCCAGTTACAGATCATGTTAATGTAAGGCAAAATAGAAATATTAAGCACAAAGATGCATAGTTATACATTAAAGATGCATAATTTACTTTAGTTATCAGATCACATATCTTTACTTTCTATTTAGAATAAATAAGTTACATGTCAAACACACAAATCAAAATTAAATATATCAAGTATCTACCTTTCAGTGCGACAGCTTTGCAGTAATTATAATTAATGTTCTGTAAAAATATTGATCAGAGAGGATGCCGGCTGAAATATTTTCAAAGTTAAAATGAGTTTGGCTGTCTTTTTAAACCAGGGATAAAATAAAGCATAAACCAGAGGATTCACGCCTGAGTTAGCATACACAACCCATGATAAAATTTGTATAGCCGTTGAAGAGTTTACAGATAGAGAACAGATATAATAAGGGATATAGCAAAGCATGTAAACAGACACAATGATTCCTAAAGTCAGAGCAGCTTTACTTTCAGATTTCCTCTTTACAGCACCCTCTATTACACATTTACCACCCTTCATCAGAGAGTTTATAACCTTCACTTGCTGATGAACTACACAGAAGATCCTCAAATATAACATTATGATAAGTGCACAAGGACAAATAAAACCTAACGACAGATCAGTCACTATCCAACTAAAATGAATCATGAATAAACAGTCTCCATAACACACATTCATTCTCTGAGAACTGTCAAAATAGCCGTTATCAGTTGCAAGGGCAGTGTTATAAGTTGAGAAGCAAACCCAGCTCAGACAAATCCCTAATAATGTTTTAGTGATGGTTATTTTCTGTGGGTACAGTAAAGGGTGACACACAGCCACATAACGATCAACAGCAATTAAAATTAAACTGCCAATAGATGCTGAGAGAAGTAATGACACAAATAATAAATAGAGTCCACAGAAAATATCTCCAAAATACCAACACTTCTCATTCATTCTGATGGCCTCTATAGGCATGGCGAGTCCAATAAGCAGATCAGTTACAGCCAGAGAGAGAATAATCATGTTGGTTGGAGTGTGAAGCTTCTTGAAGTGAGAGATGGAGATGATCACCAGCAGGTTCAGAAACACAGTCCATGCTGACAGCAATGACACAAACACATATATGATGATATATCCATATCCGAAATATTTTTCTTTAACACATGATGAGTTGATGTCAGGAAAGCAGTATTGAGTCTCCTGATCCTCTGTCTCATAGGCCATGAGTGAGTCTCCTCATGTTAGGGGTTTGTTCTGCTCTCCTTTCTGTCCTTTCATTTATACAGTATCTGGATCAGGCAGACCGACCCATCTACCGCCCACTCTGATTTCATCATCATTAACATTTTTTTCTTAATTGTATAGATAAGACAAACACAGACATGAAAACTATAAAAGGTCTGTTTTTATTTGTTTATTTTAATAATTGCAGCAAATATTTGCTTCTTAGACAAGACACATCTGTATAAAGCCTAAATTGTACACTCTTAATGAGTTAATGTGCTTGTATCTAAAAAAAAAAACATTAAACCACAGCTGCCAAAACGGTTCTTAAGAAGCTCCACATGGTCAATATACATTACTAGGCTGCAATTGCCAATGTCAAATGTTGGGTTCAGTAGTCCTGGCATTAAAAATCTTGAGACAATGTATAACATGTATCTTTCTGCAATCAGTCCACCTTCACTGTCTTTCCCACATCCGGGAGAGTTAAGCTGTGGAGAAGCCCCAAAGAAGCGTACCAGCCATTTTTTTGTGAATGGCTCCTCAGTGGTGGCACTGCTGTGGTCTTTTCGTATAACCTTATGTGAAGCTGCCCTGACATAATCTACATTGTAAAAGCGCTATAGAAATAAAGGTGAATTGAATTTAATTCTGTCGAACAGTCACTGCTGCACATCTGGGCTGACGGTATTCGTCATGGCAGTTCAGGACTGAACTGAATACATGTACCAGTGGTGGAAAGAGTACTGAAAAGTCCTGCTCAAGTAAAAGTGTCAATAATTGCCTAAAAATGTAGTGCAAGTAGAGTAAAAGTATCTGTTGTAAATATTACTCAAAGTATAAGTAAAAAGTAGCCATTTTAAAAGTACTCAGGAGAAGTGAGTAATACGCTGTTAAAAGCTGATGTATTTGCATGTCATTTGTGGATGTGTGCAGGGGCGTTGCTAGAGTCGAAAGGGATAAGCCCCCCCAAACCCCCCCTCCTCCAATCCATAAAAAGTTTTTATTCACCCTGCTTAAATATCCCCATTTTTAAAAGGTGATCTACTCTAATCTTAATAGTAGGATTATGAATGGTTTAACAATAAATACAGGGTTTTTGAGTTGACAGTCTTTTAGCAATAAAAACTTTAAATTGTGAAACTTTATGTTATGAGCCATATTATACATCTTTAGCCACTTATTTCCTCCTGATTTTTAGTTTGCTTTTAGAAAATGTAATTTTCTGCATGTCTTTAAATCTGGAAATGTGATTTATTTTATAGTTTATAGAGTTGTTATGCAATGTAATACAAAGCTACAAACATGTTCATTTGGACAGTGATTAACTAAAGTGTAGTTTTGTCAAGACACTGGAATTTCTAAATTCAATACCTCGCAAAATAATGGTATTCAATAGGCTACTATTTTTGATATAATAACAATTGCATCAAAAATAGTACAAAAAAAATAAAAATAAAGATCTATATCAGGAGTCAACAATCTCGGTCCTGGAGGGCCGGTGTCCCTGCAGGGTTTAGCTCCAACTTGCTTCAACACACCTGCCTGGATGTTTCAAGTATACCTAGTAATACCTGATTAGCTTGTTCAGGTGTGTTTGATTAGGGTTGGAGCTAAAATCTGCAGGACACCGGCCCTCCAGGAACAAGTTTGGTGACCACTGGTCTATATGCTAGAAATAAGTTTACTTCAAATGTCTTCAGAGGGAGATTGTTTTTAGTTTTCCTCAAAATAGGTAGATGTGGGTATTGTAACACTTTAAATGCATATAATGCCTGTTTCATTCATACTTGAGCAGAAATTCCATATATGCCTCACAAAAGTTGTAGAACATTCTAGGAAATCCCTAATATGGATGAAGGTATCCAGCTATTGCTGTAGTTGAATGAATGATAAGATCTGAATAAACATAAAAAGGCTTTAACTGATCATTTACACGACTGCCATAATGAATGGTTTATATATGTTCTTCCAGCCATCTTAGGTATTTTCATAAGAATAAAGCCGATTTATAATTTGGTGCTAACTGATATAGCATGTTATAATAGAAGCTTAAAATAATAAGCTAGATGCATTAACTTAAGATGCAGAAACAGATGTGCCTGGCTATATCATATCTAGATAAATATGTCTAGATATCTATATCAAATGTGGAAAGCTAATACAGTTTACGCTTTTCTGACTAATTCACATGTATTTACATTGATACGATGATTAAAAACTACACACATTTTATACTGTGAAAACAAATAATAAGCTTCATCAGTAGTGAGAACTATTTAGTTTTGCGAAACAGTTGCATAATTACCTTTTCAGCATCAGCTCCTCAAAATAATGAATGATGATGATGGGATTTTTTTAACACCATGTGACAACAGTGCCACTCCCATCTGCCGGTAGAAACAGGTACTGCTGAATATCTGACTATTTAATTACATTAGACAAACACTGCGTTAAGTGGAGCGATGTATGTGCTAATTTCAAGGACTTCTATAACAAAATAAATGTTATACAACCTATTTTTTATTTACGTGCAACATATTCTAAAAGATCAGGGGCTTTTGACCATACATTAGGGGCTTAAGCCCCCAAAGCCCCCTCCCTCGCAACGCCACTTGATGTGTGTAAACGTAACATTCATGAGAAGAACAGAAATGTTGTTTAGCTGTCAATGAACATGTCAAGTCAATGATCAAACACCACAGATTTTAGCCTAGGATTGTAGAAATCTTTTAGGAATTCTAAAATTTGTCTCAGATGACCAAATCGTGGCTAAAATCACATTCTGTAGTTAGCAGGGCTTTGGATCAGTATTAATTAATACCATTTTAGAGCACTTTATGACCATCTAAAAATAAAGAGTATTTTAGTCATGATAAAAAAAAAAAAGTTTCTTTTAATTTGTTTATATGCTTCTTTCAACTGTATATGCAAAGAGAAGTCTATTCAGGGAGTTGTACTTGTGACCCAAAGATCGCAGCTTCAAGTGTTGAAGTGATTGTAGATGGG